TTCGCTTGGCGCCTCTCGTCTCTTCTCTCTCCTCTCTCTCTACTCTTCTCTTCTCTTCTCTTCTCCCTCATCCCTCCCTCCGCTCTCCCCTCTCTCTCTCTCTCGTCTCTCTTCTCTCTGTCACATACACAACACAACCGCCACACTCCTCTCTCTCTCTCTCTCACACACACACCACTGCACGCCACACCTACTCTCTCTCTCTCTGACACCATGCCACTTCCTACGCAAAGAGTTCTACGTAAATTATTAGCTCTGATCTGAATCGCACCTAACCCGGCGCTCGCTTGCGCCGTACGCCGAAACTAAATTAACTGCGTTGACTACATGCGCCCAACTCAAGAAACATTCGATTGCGTACGCCACACAAAGATTTTACGCACAAAATATTTTGCCATACGCCAGCTTGATGAATCATGAATTACCCCGAGGCCCCACCCGCCAGTGGCAAGCGCAACACGTATCAAGAGTCTTACAGTTTCCAGGGGCATGTGTACAGCGGGGGGTCAGAGGGGTCCGCGCCCCCCATGCTCGCGCAGAAAACCGCATCTGACGGGAGGTGGCTAATTTCAAAATAATCCCTGCGGGCCAGTCCCCCCAGGACACCCCCCCTGTGATGCTCCTAACACCAGACCATGCCAACCATGGGTTACGATTTGAGCGCTAATTATTACGACTTTTGCGTTGTATTAATTACGGCACATTTACGCCTTAGTCATCCATTATTACGACTTTTATAAATTCAATAAATTTAATTTTAAGTAAAAAAATTATTATTTTTAAAGTTTTTCTTAAATTTAAAAATTTTTCGCTGATGTAGACACTGACAGACGGCTTTCATGTAAATCAGCGTGTTTCGTGTTTAACAGAGAACTTGAGATCTTTTTAATGTTTTGTTGCACAGCTTATTCTACGTCAGTGGTCACTTGTCACGCCAGAGCAACTGTGAATCTTGTAGAAAGCATGTTTGTAGTCACTACAATGTACATTGTATAGTCATTTATTTCTTCAGCAAACTTTTCATTTATTTCTTCAGCAGATCTAGAGAACTGACACATTTTGTGAAAGTGTTTGTAGTACATGTATAGTCATTTTTTAGCTCATCTGACATAAGTCAGATGCAGCTTGTAGAATCGCATGATCGTCCGTCCGTCCGTCGTCCGTCCGTCCGTCGTGCGTCCGGCCGCTCGTCCGTCAACAGTTGGCACAAATCTTAACGCCTCGACGTTCCGTCACGATATTCGGCACATGCGGGGGATCGTCAATAAATTCCAATGTGAACACATTTGGGACTAACAGGGTTTACTAGAATCCCACCACTCCACCACAGAGTCACCGCAGTAGACGTTAGATGAGCGCTGTCGCTCCGCGGCACTTGTTTTTGTTTAGCAGAGATCTGAGATATTTTGTGTCACTATGTAATCACTATTGAGTCAATAAGAAAAATAACATAATCAGGGTATCCTGATCCATTAATGTTCCCTATGATTGTGGGTGTATGCACAAGTTTACTGTAATAAAATTTAGTTCTCGTTTGATAAATCTCTGAAATAATTCTTGATTTCCCCCACTATTTTCAGGCAGAAAAACATCATTTTGCCTAATTTAAATCAATGCTGAAAGTGCCACAGATGGCTCCAGAATGCACCACAGAGCATCTAAGTTTCAAAATTTTTTTGGGGGAGGACCCCTAAACCCCCCCTCAAAGGGAGGGGGACACCTGCGGCGTTTGTCAAAACCAGGAATTTAGAAATCATTACTCTTTGGCTTCATTGAATGTTGGCATGTCTGTAACACCCCTCTTTCGAAAATCCTGCGTACGCCACTGGGCTTAGGAACTACCTTTATTGTACGGGTATGGAAGGTCGACAACAAAATTGCTGACTCAATTGCAGACGTTTTTTACTTTCATATGTCACCCAAATAAGACTGTGCACACATGTATATCAAAATTTAGCCTACACCTGGCCCGGATCATGTACACACAACTTAGTGCAGGTGAACTTCGTACAAGATAACCACTTCAATTATATGAGCTGACTTAGTCTAGACTAGCACCTATTTAGCTTGGGATAGCAATTAGTATGTACACATTACAAAAATTGTGAGTAGACTGAACTCACAGACTAGTTTGGGGAAGGATTAAATTTGCAGTCTCAGTGGTGTATATATGTAATATTTTTCCAGCAATTGATTATTTTGACTAATGTAAGACGTAATGAATAAAATAATGTAACGAGTTACGTAGTCTATTTTTTAACTGCATTTCTACAGTTAATCTAACAATGCAGCTGGTTATGATGCCAAACGTATTAATAAAATTCTCTTGACACGGGCCGTTTATGAAAAAAATTTTGTTATAGCACTCCGTCGCGGACATCTCGTGCACCACTCACACTGAATACAAGTTCAGTAATTATCGAAAGGACGCTGCACAGCATGTTCACTTTGAAAACTATGATCTGCGGTACCTGAGTTTCCAAAAGGCCCCTAGCTGAGGGATGGGCCTGCTGACGAGTGGGAAACTACGACAGACATTCAAGAACAAAACTTGCCGCTCGGACAGACAGAATTTTAGAGTCAGTTAGGATGAAAAATTTGTGACATTAGCATTTTATAGTTGCTAAATTGTTCATATTGAAATTTTCGTGGTAGTATATTATAATATTAGTACTATATTATAATACTAAATGTAATGTGTGGCTTTGATCTGATATGTACAGGTTTATTACATCTAGAAGTAATTAGGAGATAAACTGTGTTAATAGTTTATATTTTCTTGGTATTATCAGGAGTAGATAATAGGGAAGGAGTGTGACATCAATAAACAAGGGAAATTCGTCATTTACTAGCCTTAAAATACCTACGATTTACTAGGCGTAACGTAACTTCAAATTGTACACAGTACATTCGCCTAGCATCGTGCGAAATCGTTTCCTCGTATACACCCGCAATCCGGAGATATAGATTAAAACGTACGACATAATTTTCCATTCTGTAGCCAGCAAAATCGATGCGTTCAGAGACGAATTTGAAACAAAAAGCAGCTACTAACCCGCTATTGCTAACTCGGCGGGCAATGTGGCTCGCTGGGAGATTTGAGTCCGATCTGCTGCTGATTGCGGTTGGCGTGCGTGCATGGTATGGGGGCATGCCAGCTGTATGCCAGCATGCTGGTATGTAGCTGTGTATCAGGTCAAAGGTTATCTCGCCGAGTGCTGCATTGATGCCTAATCTCCCAGCGAGCCACATTGCTCGCTGAGTTAGCAATAGTGCGTTAGTAGCTGCCTTTTGTTTCAAATTCGTCTCTGAACGCATTGATTTTGCTGGCTACAGAATGTAAAATCGTGTCGTACGTTTTAGTCTATATCTCCGGATTGCAGGTGTATACGAGGAAACGATTTCTCACGATGCTAGACGAATGTACTGTGTACGATTTGAGCTCAAGTTGGTTGCATTACGCGTAGTAAATCGTAGATATTTTAAGGCTAGTAAATGACGAATTTCCCTTGTTTATTGATGTCACACTCCTTCCCTATTATCTACTCCTGGTATTATGTACCTATAGTGTTAAGTAATGGTGAAGAGTGATGTACCGGTAACTCAAAAAGGTAGTTTAATGCTGGAGCTGGTACATGTTGCGGCTTTCCACACTCAAGCTGGGGAACAAGAGAGGGTGGCGTCAATCTGCGCTGTATCTAACATTAATCACTAGTTCATAGAATGTGTGCATGTGCGTAGGATGTAGTCCACACTATTACAACCCCTTTTATCAGAGAAGTGCTTATGAGATTATACTGAACACAGATAATTGAATTTTTCATTTAACCAAAATAGCATGCATTACATAATTGGACTATTGGAAATAGCATGCAGTAAAAGTCTTTCTTAGATACTTTCTGTTGTAGTACCTCATCACATTCAATAACACTGTTCATAAAGAAATAAAGATTATTACTGCTTGTGATGCAATACAGTCAAGTCTTTAACTGTGTATAATATACTATAAATGTCGATACTGTTTCATCTATCATGTATCACCCATCATAATCATTTGTATCGTGGAGGTTTCTTTACTGTTTACTTACTTTTAACATGTTTTGTATATAAGTTTGGTTGAGTCTATATACGGGAATTGTTCACACTTCGCTTCCGTCGACGATATCATTGCTGGGCAGCCAGGGTTAGCGCCTTTCCACGGGAATCGGTGATCTCGTGGTCGATCCCAGTGGTGGCGATCCCATGGGATCTGCTGTCTCTCGCATATGTACACGTTTTCTCCCCAATGTCTTCCCATTAGGCGCTTCTATTATGTATGACCTTGGTTCACTACACTTCGACACAATAATGGCGGGATGCCAGCGACTAGTCTTATGATCCTCCACACCACTGCTTGTCCAGGCATGAGAGGTGGCAGGGCATGTGCTGTACGGTCGTGGTATTCTGACGTTCTTGTCGCTGTTGCAACTGGCCACTAACGTGGTCAGCATTACTATATTGTGGCCGGGTATCTTAGCCGATACGTTCGAACGTAGCTTACGGCTTGTGAGTAACTCGCCCGGACTCGGCAAGTACTGGCTAATGGGTGTAGTACGGAGACTCAGCATAGCTAGGGCTATGTCTGTTCCTACTTGTTTTGGACTTCTGAAGTAGGGACTTCTGAAGTACATGACGTACCTGTCTCTCGATAAAGCTGTTTGACTAGGTATATTGGCAATGAGGTCACGTGATCAAAACGCCACTGTCTTACAAAATCTCGATATGCTTCAGAAGCAAACTGCGGTCCATTGTCACTGATGACACGACGGAATCCCATGTTCTGAGAATATCTGCTTGGTCGCAGCAATAACAATAATGCTGGTATACTGTCCGGCCCTGCCATGACATTCAGTTTCGAGAAAACTTTAGCAACTGTGTAATGATGCGTCAGTTCCTCGATTGTAGGGATTTTGTGGTGTGGACGTTTTAGAGCCTGGTTCAGATGTCTTGGGTCCAAGCATACACGTAGGCTGCCATCCTTCTTGTGTGAGTACGCTAGACTCGAAACCCAATCAGATGGTTCTGTCACCTTTTGTGATGACACCGTCTTTCACCATGAGGTCAAGTTCCTTCTTGATCGCATCCTTTAATGCTATTGGTTTTAATACTACTTTCCAAAGCTATTACTCGAAACAGGAAATAATTTGAGCTGTTACTGATTACTTGCGTACTTCTTCCGTACTTTCGTGCTGTGTGATTTGATGAACTATATAATTAACTATATAATAATTCAAACGAATACCAACATATAAGGTTGTTTGGTGTTACAACAGCTAACCAACCAACACCAGCTACATAATGATTGTAAATAAAGATGTGTTACAATAGTTGTCAGCCCCGATCCTGTTTGCGTTAGCCTACAATATGATATAACACTTACAATACTTGCAATAAAGGAATGAACATAAGTCGAAACAGTTCACAGCTTTCTCCAGTTACTGTAATGAAATTAAATTCTTTGAAACGTATGGAATTGAGACGTAACTGTAATGTATTAGGTTTTCAATAGAGTAATAATTACCGCTGTACGGTGGAGCTGCCACTCGGTTCTAGAAGAGAAATAAAAGATGGATGATTATACGCCAAGCTTTTGAATATTAGTCTTTTACTAAGGCCGGGAGCCGGGCATAGAGCCTAGGTGCGAAGACATAACAGTGGCGACGAGTTAGTTAAAGTCTTGATGAGTCGTTTGATGCATAATGGCAGCCATAAGTTTGGAAATTGGAGCCGTAAGGCCGTTCGATATGACAGGCCATGCTTCCTAGTTGGGACCACGCTGGGCCAAATGGAAGAAATCGTTCCAGTACTTTCTCGACGCAAAAGCGGTGGTAAATGCGCCACAAAAACGGGCATTGTTGCTGCACACGGCGAGGCCAGAAGTACAAGAACTGTTTGACACTTTGTCAGACCCTGGTCCAGGCCCAACCAGAGTAGATGCGGACGGGAGGGATATCCCGGAGGCACCATGTGTGTATATACATTTTGTACTTACATTGGATGCATACTTCATCACTAAGGTGAATGAGCCCTATGAAAGACATGTTTTCCGTTGATTGTCCCAGGATTCTGGGGAGACTGTGGATAAATTTACGTCACGTCTTCGTGCCCAGGCAAAGTTCAGTAACTTCCCGAATGTAGACGAGGAAATTCGGGATCAGTTGATTGAAAAGTGTTCTTCAGCTAAACTGAGGCGAAAATGTCTTGAGCAAGACGGATTGACATTGGCCAGAGCTTGTGAGTTGGCGCGTGCATATGAAGCTGTAGACTATCAGATGAAGTTAATGGGTAGAGGCCACGAGTAGTGTAAATGGAACCATTCAGTTTCAGTCAGCCGTGAAAAGTTCAGCACACAAGGGTCGCCAAGTTTAAAAAGGGAAATCGTCGACCTAGTGCAGACGGGCCTAGGCACTCTAGTGGAAGTTGTCGACCAAATCGGAACGACGAGTGTTATCGTTGCGGAAAACGGGGTCATTTTGGTTGAAACCCAACTTGTCCAGCCAAATCGGTGGAATGTCGAAAATACGGGCGTATTGGGCACGTCAAAAAAGTGTGCCATTCCAAATCGTTGATCAAATACATGTGAGGAAATGGAGGAATCGGTACTCGGAATGTATTCGATGGAATCGGGAATATCGAATGGGTTCGAAGTTGTTCTTAAATGCGGTGGCAAGAATTTGCCCATGAAATTTGATACTGGAGCCAGTGTCTCGATTTTGCCCAAAACCGTGTACGACCGTGATTTTTGCACATATTCCGCTAAGTTCATCAAAGCTGCAACTAAAAGTATACGGAGGTGGTAAACTGTCCGTTTGTGGTGAGATGTCAGCAGAAGTGGTGCATAATGGTCAGAAAGTTGTGTTGCCATTAGTTGTAGTGGAGCAGTCCGGACCTGCTTTGCTTGGTAGGAATTGGCTCGGTAGCTTGAAGTTGAATTGGGCCAATATCTTTAGTGTAGAGGTGCAACCCAAACCGCATACTATAGAGGATGTACTCGATAAGTACAAGTGCGTATTCGAGAAGAAGCTAGGTACTGTAAAAGGGTTTAAAGCAAGCATTAGGCTCGACCTGTGCCGTATGCGTTGAAGCCGGAAATTGACAAGGAACTGGACAAGTTAGAGTCAGAGGGAGTGATCAGGAAGGTTGAGAGGAGTGATTGGGCATCGGCAATAGTATGTGTGCCTAAGAAAGATGGCTCGATAAGAATCTGTGGTGATTTTAAGGCGTCTGTAAATACTGTGTTGCTTGATAACCCATACCCATTGGCAGATATCGAGGATATGTTTGCGATTATGGGAGATGGCACCATGTTTAGTAAGATCGACCTTTCCAATGCCTATTAGCAGATGGAGCTAGATGAGGACAGTTGCCAGTATTTGACCATAAACACTCAGGGGCTGTACCAGTATACCAGTTTAACATATGAAATTGCTTCCGCACCGAGTATGTTTCAATCCATGATGGATCAGGTGTTACAGGGAATGGACACTGTTCAGTGTGGGATTGATGATATCGCGATTCGTACCTCTCCACAGGAACATTTGTCTGTAGTCGAAGAAGCATTGGCACGGATAAACACGGGATTCAGGCAAAATGGGTGAAATGTGTCTTCGAGAAGCCAAGTATGGAGTACGTAGGGTACGAGGTGGACAAAGACGGCAAAGACATCCGCTGAAGGATAAAGTCACTGCAATTGAAAATGCTCTGCAACCGCGCAATGTTCAAGAGTTGAGATCTTATTTAGGCCTCTTGAATTTCTACGCAAACTTCATCCCGAACCTCAGCACCCTGTTACATCCATTACATGCGCTGTTAACC